TGTGAAACGACATTCCAAGCATATTGACGTAAAATGCCACCTAGTGAGAGATCTGCAGAAAGAAGGAATCATCCAGTTAACCTACTTTCCAATGAAGCAGGTGATTGCAGGCACCCACACTAAGATGCTTCTTAGAGAACACTTAGAAGATCTAAGAAAGAATTGGTCAAGATTTTACAACTGGATTGAAGAATATAATAAATGAAACATATACATCGGTTATGTATATGTTTCATTTATTATATTTTTCGACCCAATTGTAAAATATTGACCAATTCTTCCTTAGATCTTCAAAGTGTTCTCTAAGAAGTGTCTTAGTGTGGGTGCCTGCAATCACCTGTAAACAGAGGACAACAAGAACATTTAAGATAAAATGTGCAAAGCTATGCTTAATAATATATGGTGTAGAGATATTATTGTTGAGAGATGTCTGGATAACATAACAGATAATTCAATTAGATGGAGAGATTCTCCCATTTAATGTTCTGTTTATGTTTATTACAAAAAAATAAAAATTACTATAAAAAATATCTAAGAAGATGAATTTTGTGAACTGAGTCTCAAGACATCAAGAGGAAGAGAAGGCCTGAATAGCCTGAATCTCAATCAAAGAAAGAGGGCTGTGTAAGATGAAGGAGCTGCGGTGGCTCAAGTGGTTAAGACGCTGAACTGCAGGCTGTGGAAGGTCAGTAGTTCAGCAGTTCAAGACCCGAGTTGCCGCATGACGGAGTGAGCTCCCGTCTCTAGTTCCGGCTCCTGCCAACCTAGCAGTTCGAAAGCAAGAAATTGCAAGTAGATAAATAGGGACCACTTCAGTGGGAAGGTAACAGTGTTCCGTGCGCCTTGGTGTTTAGTCATGCCGGCCACATGACCACGGAAACGTCTTCGGACAGCGCTGGCTCTTCGGCTTTGAAACGGAGATGAGCACCGCAACCCTAGAGTCGAACTCGGCTGGCTTTCGAGCAAAGGAACCTTTACCTTTAAGATGAAAGAAGTCATAAACTCCTTGACTGAGACAATTAGAATAAATGTTTCATTTGTGTATGAAAGGAAATGCTCCCTCCCCTGACTCTTTTCTTCATAACCACCCCATGAAGTAGTATTATTATTATTATTATTATTATTATTATTATTATTATTTCCCCGCCATGGCCGGCTTAGGGCGGCTAACAGATATGCACATGGAAAATACATTAAAACTCCATAATATGGTAAAAACAAAATAAAGATTACAATATAAAACCATAACTACTCAGTACATCCTATAATAAGAGATGGCTACGTTCTATCAACATTTGAATGGCTCCTGCCAGGCTGTCAGCTGTCCAGTAGGTGGCGATGTTGATGTTTGGGCCCAGGGCCATGGTGTTAAGGCGGCACCCTACTTAAAAGCCTGGTGGTTAGGCTGGGAATGTGTGACTGGCTCGAGGTCACATAGCTTCATGGCTAAGTGGGGCTCTGGTCTCCCCCCTCTTAGACCAACACACTCTTAACTACACCACTTCCATATTGGTTACTAAGTATGGCTCTCTGTGTAAATCTCAGAATCTAGAATAAATACTGGCTTTTCTGATACCCAAGGCTGAAAAAAAAAAGTTGGAACATTTGTTTGGTTAAAATAGGGTCCAGGGCAGCAAAATCCCCTCACTTTCTATATTTTAGAACCAGATTTATTGGCCCCCACCCCCAGTACAAATGCACAGAGACAAACAAAATTAGCGAAAGACGTAAACATTCCCTTCTCTTGGGGAGGGTGGTATATAAGCCTTGTAAATAGTAACAATAATTTTGCTTTCTCTAAAGCAGATCTCAGGATACCCAAATCAACTTAACTTCTGCGGTTTCCGTCCCCCACCAATTCACAACGAAGCAAAGCTTCTGAAGCAGATGTCTATAAGTCCAGTATCTCCCTTTTTAGAAATTAAGTACTGCCCACCCAGCTGTCTCTGTAATGGGGCAGAGCAGAGAGGAAGTGTTGGCATCATAATGCCTTAATCTTCAGGGGAAAACAGATAGAGGGTCAATTGTGCCAGGGAACAGAATCGGGTATCTGAAGAAGTGTGCATGCACACGAAAGCCACTACCCAGTATTAAACTTTGCTGGCCTTAAAGGTGCCACTGGTGCCAGTTTGGTGTAGTAGTTACGTGTGCGGACTCTAATCTGGGAGAACCGGGTTTGATTCCCCACTCCTCTACTTGCACCTGGCTGGATGACCTTGGGCAAGCCATAACTCTGGCACAGCTGTTCTTGAAAAAAGAGCCGTTTCTGTCAAGAGCCCTCTCAGCTCCACCTACCTCACAGGGTGTCTATTGTGGGGAGGGGGAAGGGAAAGGAGTTTGTAAGACGCTCTGAGACTCCTTTGGGTAGTGAAGGGCGGGGTATAAATCCAATCTCTTCTTTTTCAAGCTTTGTTATGTATGCCCTAGCTATCCACCACCTCTCTTCCTCAGTCCTAGCTTTTAGGCTCTGTAGAATGCACCACTCAGACACGTTTGTCCCGAGCCGCTTCTCCCAAATACACTTCTTTTTGAAAAATTGAGGAAGTAGAATCACAAAGGATGGGCAAAGTGATTGAGGGCGATCCCTTCCAAGTGCCACACTGAGCATGCTCAGAGAGATTAAGCGGCTTCCTCTCTACGAGGTAAGATTTTTATAGAAGCAAACAATGTGTCCCTCCCCCCCCCCCCCCCATCTTCCCTCCCCAGCAGTGGCAGGAGCTCTTCTCTCCTGCCGGGTGCTGTTGTTTCCCTTCTCTGAATGTCGCCTTTGAATCAGCTGCCTCTTGAATTGCAACACAGAGACCCACAACGCCTGCCTTAGCCCTGCCTTCCCTTCCGTTCAGTCATGGGCTCCACCGCCCAGAGCTTTGTTTGGTCCGGACCTCACTCCCAGCATCTGGTTTCCCCATACCGGGGGCCGAGTCCTAGAAGAGGAGAGTCACGCTTCTCTTCCTGCCTTATGCAACCGAGCATGCTCGACTT